GGAGTCAGCAGAGATTTAATTTCTGACCAAATAAGCTCTTACCTCAAAAAAGCCCTCTGGAGCTACAAATCTCATCAGCTGATTGCAACACTCACCTCCCCAGCTCCACCTCCAGTTCCAGGGCCAGCAGGATCCCAGGCAGGGGAGAACAGGCATTGGGGCAGGCATTCCATCCTGTCTGCATTCAAGTAACCATGGCCTCGCCGTTGCTTCTGCTAGCCTCTCCAGGGAACTCTGCATAGAGTCCTTGCTGTCTGATGAATGCCAGTCTGACATCCTTGCATGTCCTGCAGCTTCTGGGCCTTAGTGGACTTCCTGCCCATCCCAACCAGGGGCTCCATTGTTTTGCATCCTACTGTCCTGGGAGACCCTGCTACTTGGATGACTGCCCTCCAGACTGAGTGTCATCTACTGTCATATGTGAGTCTTCTCCTTTCCTCCCAGCTCCTCAGCTCTAATCACAGCCCCCTTCCCCCCGATGACCAGGTTTGCTCCAGATATGGGGTCAGTCCATCGCACTGAGCAGCCCCCGCACTGTGGTGGGAAGACATTGCCTACAGTCACTTGGGTTTTACTCAGACAATCTCCTCAGTTCCTCACTGGAGGCCAAGCTCTTCAGGACTTAAGACCCAGCGGGCTGTCCCACAGGAGTCTACATTATCTCTACCCACCCTGGTCTCATTCTATCTCCAAAAACATGGTAGCATTTAGAAAACACTTCTCATTAATTTCTGCAGAACTTCTTTTGGAAGATTCTGTGGAAATTTTCTGTTAAATCAGATATTCCTGGTCTCAGCAAAACCTGTGTTATAAAACTGCCCTGTGGATGATGGATGATACTTTCTCCCCCTCCCCCCCTTTTTTTAAAGGCAGGGTCTCATTATGCAGCTAGCCTAGAACTGGATACATATGTAGATCAGCCTGGTCATGTCATGTAGAGATCCACCTGCCTTGGCCTCCTGAGTGCTGGGATTAAAAAGATAAGAGAATGGTATCTTCTTTAAGACTCATTTGCTACAAAGAAAACAATCTTAACAACCTTCTCAGCATCTCCCTTCTCAGCCACCTCTCTTATCTATAACCCTTTGCTAAAATGAATCCAGTTCTGAGAGGCCGTTGAAACAAAGTAACTCCCTGAAGAGGCTTCCTTCAGAGCTGAGAGTTCAAAGAACTGACAAACCTTGAGTTTGGAGAATTGTACAGGAATTGTCATTTAAAAAAAAAAAAAAATCACGGGCTCAGTAGGTAAAGGTGCTTTCGGAGAAACCTGGCGATCTAGGTCAATCCCTGGGACCCCCACGGTGGACGGAGAAAGCCGACTCCCACAAGTTGCCCTCTGACCTGCACTCACACACTGTCCTGTGCGCGTGTGCAGAGCACAGGAGCACTCACACAAATACAACAATGTACAGACAAACAACAAAATGTGGGCTAAGGATGTAGCTCAGTTGGTAAAGTGCCTGCCGAACCCCTAGGGTGCTCAGTTTTGTGGGTGCTGTGGACTGAAACTAGAATTTCACGCATTCTAAGCAGGTGCATTACCAATTGAACTACGTTCCCACCCCATTAGATAAATCTTAGTGAATGTGATGACGCTGTGGGCTCAATGAAAAGTATCGTAATTCAATATGTCTTCATATGTTATTTTTCCTCTTAGGAATATACAATGTTTTATAGAGTCCATTTCCCCTACCAAGCATTTCTAAAATTATAACAGCAGCTGAACTGTTAGGAAGTGAGATCTAAATTTCATACTTGAAGTTAGAGACTTTTGCAGGCCTTGGTTGCTCTAGATCCCAAAGCTACATTTTTTTTGGGGGGGGGGGGCTGTGGTCCCTTCTCGGTGATGCTCTCCCGGTGATGCTCTCCCATCTCTGTCCCATTCATCTCCATGATCCCTTCTCAGTGATGCACTCCCATCTCTGTCCATTCATCTCCATGGTCCCTTCTCAGTGATGCACTCCCATCTCTGTCCCATTCGGCTCCCATTACACAGTTTCATTTGGTTCCTTACAAACTTGCTTAATTGTTCTTGACTTCACAGGAAACCAGGCTGGTCTTGACCTTATGTAGAGCCTAGGGTAACCTTGAATTTCTGGCCCAGTTCTAGGGATTGAACCCTGGACCTTGTACTGCACATGCTATGCAAATACTACCGAAAAGCTCTACATCTCCAGCCCTCTCACCAAATACTTCAGGCTTGCCTTGAACTTACTCCGTAGGGGGCCTGGAATTTGAGATCCTCTTGCCTTAGCCTATCAGTAGCTTGGGTTAGAAGCCTGTACCACTGCACAGGCTGGGAATGGTAGCACTCAGGAGGCAGAGGTAAGCAGATCTCCGTGAGTTCCCAGCTAGCCTGGGCTACATAGAGAGTTCCAGGTCACGCAGGGCTATGTAGTAAGACCCTGTCTCAAAAACAAACAAAATTGGCCGGGCGGTGGTGGCACACGCCTTTAATCCCAGCACTTGGGAGGCAGAGCCAGGCGGATCTCTGTGAGTT